TAGTGGGCCCCAGGCCACCAAAACGAACAAATCTCAGTAAAACGCGTTTTCATACCAACATGTCGGATATGCCCTACGTAGGGTGCAGCGAGCCTACGCAACGGACAAACGGCCAAAAGTTGACCCTCACCTCTTTCTCTCATTCGCCTATACGCTCATGCACGCTCACATATATATATATGTACACCTACACCCATTTATGTATGTGCACGCATTTATTCTAGCGCCTAAAGTTAACATATATATATTAAAATTTATATGTTAAAATTTCGCAACTTTCGACCTCTAACTGTCGGCCATTAGACGCACCGCGCACCGCCCTGTTTCCCTGCTCGGGCGCCACTTGTAAAGTAGTAATTTTATAGCTGGGATAGACTCAGTCTGCCCAGGGTTTACTCACAAGAAATTTTTATTAGAATTGTGAGACACCAGGGGGGGGAGGGATGTTTAGTAATATGACCGAGAATAGGGAAAGAGGGGGGAGAAATTCAACATGGGGACCGCCACTCACGTGCACCTCTTGCTTTGCAATCCAGCCTTACACTCGCCGTCGCCTCGACGCCGTCCGATCCTTTGTTAGCATCACGCATACGCCTCAGTCGCTTCTCTCAATGAAATTATTCCCTTTTGTTTTCTGCTGCCAAGTTGTTTTATTATACCTTGAACCCATTTTCAATGGGAAATCAGGGTATAATGGTTTTGTTGAAATGTATGTAACAGGCAGAAGGAGGCGTGGCAGACCCCACAAAGTATATATATTCTCGATCAGGGCGACGAGCTGAGTTGATTTGGCCCTGTCCGTCTGTCTGTCCGTCTGTCCGTATGTATGAACGCGTCGATTTGAGAAGATATAAGAGCTACAATTTTTTTTAAAATATCCGTAATTACAGCGCGCATATCAAGTTTATCATTAAAAATCGATAGCTCATCCCGATCTTTTTTATCGATAAAAAACCTTATCGAAAACCAGTTATAAAATTATATCTTCTACACCTTTATTGCTAGAGTATCCAAATTTTTAATGTATGTTTATATGCAATTTATACAATTTCGGTTTTTGTTAATATGTACCCCCACCTCTACATTCACCCCCCTCACCCTCACTTTTGTAAAAAGCGTATTTCAAATACTAGAGACTTGTGCTTTGGCAATTACATGCATATTCATGTTATAATCATAATCTGAAAGTTTCATGAAGATCGTACGTCCATAATAAAAGTTATTAAACAATTAAGTTCTCATAGTAAGCGCACACTGCAGCCCATGCGTGTTTATGCGTGGGTGCTTGTGTGTGTATGTGTTTGTGTATGTGTGTGTATGTGTTTGTGTATGTGTTTGTGTATGTGTATGTATGTGTTTGTGTATGTATGTGTTTGTGTATGTGTGTGTGTATGCGTTTGTGTCTGTATGCGTGTGTGTGTATGTATGCCTGTGTGTGCGTACGTGCCTGTGTGTGTGTGTGTGTGCGTGTTTCTTGTGTAAGCTGAAAGACGCGAAAAATTATTGAAATATCTATTGCTCCAAGGGTTCAGGGGATCTCGTAGTCGAGCAGTCTCGACTAGAGCTTTCTTACTTGTTTTTATACCCTGAACCCATTGAAAATGGGAAATCAGGGTATAATGGTTTTGTTGAAATGTATGTAACAGGCAGAAGGAGGCGTGGCAGACCCCACAAAGTATATATATTCTTGATCAGGGCGACGAGCTGAGTCGATTTGGCCCTGTCCGTCTGTCTGTCTGTCCGTCTGTCCGTCCGTCCGTCTGTCCGTATGTTTGAACGCGTCGATTTCCGAAGATATAAGAGCTAGAGACTTGAATTTTTTTTTAAATGACCGTATATACAGCGCGGACGTCGAGTTTGCTTTTATAATTCGATAAATCATCCCGTTATGTTTTTATCGAGTAAAAACATTCAAGTTTAAATCAGGTGCCACTATAGTTAATTGTGAATGATTTTTCTTTTTTTTAAATTTCTCAAATATTCAATATAATATGTAGATCATATGCTAAAAGTTTCATTAAATTCCGTTCAGTCAAAAGTTAATAAAAAATAATCAAATATTTGGCCAATTAACAAACGCACGTGCAGCAGCTACAACAGCATCGTATGCGTGTGCACACATACATTCAAACTTCTTCTAGAAACATTCGTTGAATCACATCAGCTGTTAGTTTCGTTTAGTTTTGGTAGATGGCGCAGCAGCAGTGAATCTATTTGAGTTTTGCCAGCGCCACTAGCAGGAGTGGGGTGGCCTAGTGTGTTAGCTGCATGACGCTCGATCGAGAAGTCGCGGTTCGAGTCCCGATCGATGCAACTGATGTTAATTTTTTTTAATTGTTTCAAAATATTTTTATATTTTCATAAATGAGTTTTCTATTTAATTTATATTTTTAAATACACCGAAATCGAAATTTTAACTATACTTTATGTGCGTTTTTAATAGTTTGGTTATTCTAGCAGATTCTTAGAATCACATCAGCAGTTAGTTTCATTTAGTTTTGGTAGATGGCGCTGCAGCAGTGAATCTATTTGAGTTTTGCCAGCACCACTAGCATGAGTGAGGTGGCCTAGTGTGTTAGCTGCATGACGCTCGATCGAGAAGTTGTGGCTCGAATCCCGATCGATGCAACTGATGTTAACTTTTTTAATTGTTTCAAAATATTTTTATATTTTATTAAATGAGTTTGGTATTTTATTTATATTTTTAAATACATCGAAATTGAAATTTCAGCCATACTAAATGGGCATTTTTATTTGTTGGGTTCAGGGTAGTATATCGAGAGTGCTCGACTAGAGTTTTCTTACTTGTTTACTTTTCGATTTACTTAATCTAACCGCTCTTAAAGAAAATCACAGGCACAATTTAGCTTTTACTCTTCTTCGCCATCTGACGGCTTCAGCTGCTTGAGCCCGACTCTTCGTCATCCGACGACCTTTGCCGCTTAACCCCGACTAACTCTCGATTTTCTTCTCTCGTTCGCCCAAAGCGCTTGGCGTCGGCGACGCAACTCTCCGCTCAAACTCTCCACGCAGGGTTGTGTCGCCGATCGCCGATAAATCAACAGCGCTTTGGGCGGCCTTTTCAAATACAAATTTAAATGCAAACTAATACTACTTAATTTACTAGCTTAACCTCTAATTACTACGTCTAGATCTTAACAAACTGAACTTAAAAGAAAATCTATAACTCTAATTCAACATAAGAAACTTATTCTATACCAAAAATTCCAATTCAATACTTCATTTTTTCCCTCGCTCATTAATTCAACTAAACCAAAAACTGTTTCATATAACTTCTTGACAATCATCGTGAGGCGGTGATCGGCGAGCCGCCTCACAGCAGGAGGTTTTTGTTGCTAATTTGGTGCTTCCTTTTTTTTTTTTTTTCGAACATATTCCAAACATGCTCAATTGGACTGATATCCGGGCTCTGTGGTGGCGTCTCTAAAAGGTGTGGAGTATTGTACGCGAGATACAATCTGGTATTCATTGCTTTATGTTTTGGGTCTTTATCCTGTTGAAACCAGAAATCAGATCCAATTCCAAGTTTCTCGGCGCTGCTCTTAAATTTTTTTTTTTTAAATATCAATGTACACATCACTTCGTCGATGAATTCCAAATTTCCGATTCCTGCTGCAGCTATGCAACCCCAAACCATAATACCTCCGCCGCCGTGTTTTACGGTTTTTATTGTATTTTTGGGGTTCAATGCTTCTCCTGGTCTCCTCCAGACGCGGAGACACCCAACTGAGCCAAAAATATTATATTTGGACTCATCTGAAAGGTGACCTTTCGCCAGAAGTCCATTGGTTTGTCCACGTAGGCTTTGGCAGACTCTAAGCGATTTCTCCTCTTTGTTAAATTTACAAGAGCTTTCTTGCGAGGCGTGTTGGACCTAAAGTTATAGGTTTTAATGGCTCTACGGACTGTTTCCGGGTGAGCTTCCTTGTCAATTGTTCGACCCAACTCTGACGCAATCTACACTGCGCTACAAACAGGACCCTTGTCCACCAGATGCTTTATTGTGCGCTTGTCACGATCGGATAGTACAGGTGGCCGACCTGATCTCTTGTTGTTTTTGATGCGCCCTTCATATTTCAATCTACCATTGACAGTCTGTATAGTAGACTTGCTTCTGAACATGATTTCTGCTATCTCTGCATAGGACTTTTGCTCCTTTGTGTGGAGATACAAAATCTTTCCACGATAACTCTTTTCGTGGCATTTTTACTGCAAAATTTAAATATTTTGTCCAGCACAAGCAAAACACGCCAACTATTATGAATTTACTCATTGTTGCGTACATTTTGCGAAAACCCGGTTATTTCTAAAAAGAACGCTGGCGCCAGACATCGCAAGAAATATAAGAGTACGTATAATTTTGTTGACGGCCATATTTGGGTATGTTTACATTCGCTGTAACATTATGGAACTAAAATTAAAAGTAAATGTTTTTCTTTTTAACAGAAAATATATTAGCTTACAATACTGCATTAAAAATTATTTACTATGACAAAAATGACAGAAGTTATCGTAAAAAATGGGAGTAGTTATCGATATGTAAAGAAAAACTTGATATGATATTTCAAGTCTCTAGCTCTTATATCTTCTGAAATCGACGCGTTCATACATACGGACGGACGGACGGACGGACAGACAGACGGACAGGGCCAAATCGACTTAGCTCGTTGCGCTGATCAAGAATATATATACTTTGTGGGGTCTGCCACGCCTCCATCTGCCTGTTACATACTTTTAACAAAACCATTATACCCTGATTTCCCATTTTCAATGGGTTCAGGGTATAATAACAATTCTACGTTTGAATTTACTATGGGAATTTAATTGTTTGATAGCTTTTCTTGTGGATGTACTTTGTTCATGAAAATTTCTGAACGAATACACTTGACTATGATGGTGTTTAGTCTCGTATTGATCTTTATTCTTCTGAGCCTGGGTTTATATACCCAGACTCATGCATAATTTCAACCCTTAAATCTAGTGCGTCTATTGCTGAGTGTGTAAGGCTCAGCATTGGTCTATTACATATTCTTATCTTATCGCTGAGTTTGTAAGGCTCCACGTGAGTCTATTAGCTATTCTTATCCTATCGCTGAGGTTGTAAGGCTCAGTGTTTGTCTCTTACATATCTGACTCTGGTGTTGCAAGGGTTGGTGTCCATTTGTCTATTTATACAGTCCGTACATGTGACCCTTATCTTTTCCCAGCGCACTACCTGCTAGTCGTAGAGTGCGTCGGAGGCATGTATACGATCTTCGTATATTCATATGTTCATGCGTGAACATTCTGCGGGGGGCCAAAGTGTGTAACGTCCAGAACTGCTATCTGTGGATTTCTTAACAATATACAGGACAAATACAAATTTAATAATTGTTAGTATTCTTGACGAAATGATCATGCTTGCAATCCTTATGTTCGTGCCTGAACATTCTGCATGGCCCAGAGAATGTGACATCCAGATAAACCGAGTATGCCACCATCACCTTGGTCTTTTGCTCAGGTGGCGGTTCCCATGCCAAGTGAAGTCGTGCCTCTTTAAAGAACTTCTGCGGCTTATAGGTGTCATCGTTTGTTGCAATAATACAGCTGATTGCATTTCTTGAGGAAGTTGTCGATCGCTTCATTGTTGGCGAAGCCAAAGCCTCCATGTGAGAGACGTCCTTTTTTGAGGCTGATGCCTTAGAACAGCCATTGTTTCGTTTGTAGTGCCTATGGTAGTTTCCTTTAATATGTTGCTGCTACTTCTAATTGACTCCTTTTCCGATGTAATTGTACTTGCATTTTTAGCTCCATTGTTGGTGTCGCTGTTGTGGTCATCACTGGAGAACTTCGATATTGTCGCTTTTCTCTTCAGCTGCACTTCCAGTCGCCGTTGTAGCCTCCGCAGAAGTTTGCTCTTCCGTTTTGGTCAAACTTCCAATTGGATATCTGTTTATATATCCTCAGCGATACTGAACGTCGATGTCGCAGTTGTAGCAGAAAGTCGATTCTTGTCCGCATCTTCTATGTGCTCCGGATCCTCTTTCTGGTGGAACCCACATCTTCTTTATTGATTATTGCATATAAATGTCGCAATTCGGGCACTGTAAATACCGATTGCCACGACCCTAGTGGCCGTAGACTCCTCAATTTTAGCCTGTTCTTAGAACGAACAACCGGTAACCTAAATGCAAAATTTGAATTCTTACGCTCAAAAAATGTGAAAATTACGCTCCTAAAGAGGCTTAAAAATTATTAAGGGGCATCGATAGAGGAGGCTACCAGTAACTTAACTATCCAAATTTGAAGCTTCTAGCTCTTAAACTGTAGGAGATATAAACTTTTGCGGTTTGCCACGCCCCCTATGGGCGGACATATATCTACCATAACTCGTTGGACGTGGGTGGTCAACCCGCGAATATATACCAAATTTCAGGTCTCTAGTATCAATAGTGCCTAAAATATAGCAGAATTCGAAAAATCACTATATATTCAGGTCCGATTTGCCACGCCCCTAGAGGGTGTAGATATATAATTTTTTCACTCATCTTCATAGAATTAAAACATCAGCTTACATGCAAAATTTCAGCATTCTAGGTTTATAACTTTAGGTTTATCCGATTTGCCACGCCCCTAATGGGCGGAGATATATCCGCCATAGCTCGTGATCTTAAGTGGTCCGCGCGGACCTACATACCAAATTTCAGCTTTCTAGCTCTTCAACAAACATGATTTCTGGTATATCGGAAAATGCATTTTCCGATTTGCCACGCCCCTAGTGGGCGGATCGGGAAAATTTTAACACTTTATAAATCGGAGATATACACGAGTATGTGTTCCAAATTTCAAGTCTCTAGCTTCAATAGCGCCGAAATAGATTGCGTTCATACGGACGGACAGCAAGACGGACATTGCACAAAACCAATATACTCATTTCACTTTCGTGAATGAGTCTAAAAAAAAATTTGGAATAATGTAGTTTGTTAGATTTCTGTAAAAAGTGTTTGTAAATCTAACTAAAACTATGACATTGAATTTAAAGATTCAAAGCCAGATTTGCCATCGCATTGGATCGTTACAACCTATTGAAGATGCACAGCACAAATTCTTGCAAATATATTTCATGGGCAATATGAAAGAACAACTTGACCGGCGTCAAGAAATCAACACAGCTATGAAAAGAGCAATTCTCCAAGATTTGCAGCAAATGCTTCACGAACTTCATGCATTGGTCAAGCTGTTCAAGACTGCTTTAGAGCGCGTGCCAAGAGATGACAATAAGTAGTAATCAGAGCAGATAAAACACCAGCTGGGACACATGAACGCACATTTAATGCTCCAACAATCGATGAAGTCGCAATCCTGATTGTTGGTGAAAGCTTGGAAGCACGCGATATTGTGCTTACACGATGCAGTACTGGGCAACTACAAAGAATATCTGAAACGCACCGTTCATATGACACTTTACAATACCCGCTGACACTTTAATATCAAAATGATTAATCCATTGAATGGTAAAATCAATCATTGTTTTCATTTTAACTTTATATACATTTCATTCTGTTTGCTTTTGGTACACAAAAAATGTTATCACTCTTAATTTAGTAGAGAGTAGCTGTAAGAGTCGTAAACCTATTAGGGGTTCTAAAATACAATTTTTACGATCAACAAATCACAGGGCCAATCTTTGACTATTTGTGGCCTCAATCTAGAAAATGCGTGTTTTTCTCATGGTCAATTGTACGTGGCATGCTCATCATGGCACAACAATCGAGAGTTGCTGCTGTTGCTATATTAGCAATTTTGATAAAACAAAAAAAATGAGAAGATCAAAGTCTGTTAAAAAAAAAAAAAAAAACAAGTAAGAAAGCTCTAGTCGAGACTGCTCGACTACGAGATCCCCTGAACCCTTGAAGCAATAGATATTTCAATAATTTTTCGCGTCTTTCAGCTTACACAAGAAACACGCACACATACACACACACACGCACGCACGTACGCACACACAGGCATACATACACACACACGCATACAGACACAAACGCATACATACACATACACAAACCCATACATACACATACACAAACACATACACACACATACACAAACACATACACAAACAAGCATCCACGCATAAACACGAATGGGCTGCAGTGTGCGCTTACTATGAGAACTTAATTGTTTAATAACTTTTATTATGGACGTACGATCTTCATGAAACTTTCAGATTATGATTATAACATGAATATGCATGTAATTGCCAAAGCACAAGTCTCTAGTATTTGAAATACGCTTTTTACAAAAGTGAGGGTGAGGGGGTGAATGTAGAGGTGGGGGTACATATTAACAAAAACCGAAATTGTATAAATTGCATATAAACATACATTAAAAATTTGGATACTCTAGCAATAAAGGTGTAGAAGATATAATTTTATAACTGGTTTTCGATAAGGTTTTTTATCGATAAAAAAGATCGGGATGAGCTATCGATTTTTAATGATAAACTTGATATGCGCGCTGTAATTACGGATATTTTAAAAAAAATTGTAGCTCTTATATCTTCTCAAATCGACGCGTTCATACATACGGACAGACGGACAGACAGACGGACAGGGCCAAATCAACTCAGCTCGTCGCCCTGATCGAGAATATATATACTTTGTGGGGTCTGCCACGCCTCCTTCTGCCTGTTACATACTTTTAACAAAACCATTATACCCTGATTTCCCACTTTCAATGGGTTCAGGGTATAAAAACAATTAATAAATAAAAAAAAACAAAAACAAACAAAAAACAAGTAAAAAAGCTCTAGTCGAGACAACTCGACTACGAGATCCCCTGAACCCTTGGAGTAATAGCTATTTCAATAATTTTTCGCGTCTTTCAGCTTACACAAGAAACACGCACACACACACACACACACACGCACGTACGCACACACAGGCATAGATACACACACACGCATACAGACACAAACGCATACACACACACACACACACACACACACACATACAAGCAACCACGCATAAACACGCATGGGCTGCAGTGTGCGCTTACTATGAGAACTTAATTGTTTAATAACTTTTTTTATGGACGTACGATCTTCATGAAACTTTTAGATTATGATTATAACATGAATATGCATGTAATTGCCAAAGCACAAGTCTCTAGTATTTGAAATACGCTTTTTACAAAAGTGAGGGTGAGGGGGTGAATTTAGAGGTGGGGGTACATTTTAACAAAAACCGAAATTGTATAAATTGCATATAAGCATACATTAAAAATTTTAAGACTTTAGCAATAAAGGTGTAGAAGATATAATTTTATAACTGGTTGTCAATAAGGTTTTTTATCGATAAAAAAAGATCGGGATGAGGTATCGATTTTTAATGATAAACTTGATATCCGCGCTGTAATTACGGACATTTTAAAAAAAATTTGAAGTTTCTAGCTCTAATATCTTCTGAAATCGACGCGTTCATATATACGGACAGACGGACGGACGGACAGACGGACAGACAGACGGACAGGGCCAAATCGACTCAGCTCGTCGCCCTGATCAAGAATATATATACTTTGTGGGGTCTGCCACGCCTCCTTCTCCCTGTTACATACATTTCAACAAAACCATTATACCCTGATTTCCCATTGAAAATGGGTTCAGGGTATAACAAGTAAGAAGACTCTAGTCGAGACTGCTCGACTAGGATATACCCTGAACCCTCTAATCTAATATTCTAATCAGTCTGCACTTCTTTTCGACACACATACATACACACGCATTAGAACGGGCTCTGCTAACTGCGCAGTAAGCAGCGACTGCGCTTGGGCTGCGCTGCAGTGTGGGCCACATTATAAGAATTTATTTGTTGAATAATTTAATTTATAGACGTACAATCTTAATGAAACTTTCAGGGCGTAATCATATGGTCAAAATGTATGTACGTTCCGAAGCACAAGTCTCTACTACTTGAAATACGCCTTGTACAAAGGTGAGGGTGAGGGGTGGATATAGGGGTGGGGGGTAAATAACAATAAAAATCGAAATTATATAAAATACATATAAGTCTACATTTAAAATTTGGAAGCTCTAGTTCTAAAGTTGTAGGAGATATAATTAAATAACTAGCTTTCGATAAGGTTTTCAATCGATAATAAAATATCGGGAGTAGTTATCGATATAAAAAGAAAAACTTGATATGCGCGTGATACACACGGACCTAGGAAAAAAAACTCTCTCTCTCGCGACTACGAGATCCCCTGAACCCTTGGAGCAATAGATATTTCAATAATTTTTCGCGTCTTTCAGCTTACACAAGAAACACGCACACACACACACACACACGCACGTACGCACACACAGGCATAGATACACACACACGCATACAGACACAAACGCATACACACACTCACATACACACAAACATACACAAACACATACATACACATACACACACAAGCAACCACGCATAAACACGCATGGGCTGCAGTGTGCGCTTACTATGAGAACTTAATTGTTTAATAACTTTTTTTATGGACGTACGATCTTCATGAAACTTTTAGATTATGATTATAACATGAATATGCATGTAATTGCCAAAGCACAAGTCTCTAGTATTTGAAATACGCTTTTTACAAAAGTGAGGGTGAGGGGGTGAATTTAGAGGTGGGGGGTAAATTTTAACAAAAACCGAAATTGTATAAATTACATATAAGCATACATTAAAAATTTGGAGACTCTAGCAATAAAGGTGTAGATGATATAATTTTATAACTGGGTTTCGATAAGGTTTTTTATCGATAAAAAAAGATCGAGATGAGTTATCGATTTTTAATGATAAACTTGATATGCGCGCTGTAATTACGGACATTTTAAAAAAATTTGAAGTCTCTAGCACTTATATCTTCTGAAATCGACGCGTTCATACATACGGACAGACGGACAGACAGACGGACAGGGCCAAATCAACTCAGCTCGTCACCCTGATCAAGAATATATATACTTTGTGGGGTCTGCCACGCCTCCTTTTCCCTGTTACATACATTTCAACAAAACCATTATACCCTGATTTCCCATTGAAAATGGGTTCAGGGTATACAAAGAAAAAGGAAGGTATTAAAAGAAGTTGCAAGAAAAGATAATACAAAGA